GCCTTGACAATGAGGTAACTTTTTCGTACATTAATAGCCGCGGGCGATTTTACGTACCCATTCGATAGCGGAAAGATTACCAACAGGTGACTCCTTAAATTTTAATAATAGACTAGATCTAGATCTAATTATTTCACATTTTCAGGAGGATTTATGTTTTGAAAAATTCAAAAATGTTTCCTTGTTTCATTTATGTACCTGTTTTTAAACAATTGAATTAAAACTTTTCAGTAATAAATGAAGCCTAGTGATGTTTCCAACAGATACAACCATGAAGTTACCATGCTCATATGACATATAGGACTATAGCAGCCATCTTGTTATTTTTTTTATTCAGGGGAAGCCACTCTAACTTTACAGATGGCCGCTGTTTATATTAAAGTTAATAGACTATACAGTATAGTTTTACCGTATTTTTTCTCTTAGTAGGCCTACCTAGATCTATAGCTCTAATGCTATGCCATAAAACGACTTATATTTTTTTTAGCCTACCCGTTTATTTAAAGCCACATATTTCTGATAATTGAATGCCCAACATACTAATATTAATTTTAAGTTATGATTTATTTATTTATTTGAAGTTATAGATCTATATAAGATCATTACATAGACTAGTGTTAAAAGAAGAGAAACAACAGGTTGATTGTTATGTGAAAAAAATATAATTCTGTCTCGAAGTTGTTTTTTTTTATAATAATTATTTTTATGAGTTTAATTTCATAGAAAAAGAAGCACGTCTACTTAAAAAATGCCTTTTTGCGAGTGGTTTTACACAAAACAAGTTAATAAAAAGTCTATTGACAATTTAAGCGCAATTTCCTTATGTTATCAGGTGTTGATTGGGGCTTAATACCACACGGCTCTTAACGCCCTCCTTTACCCTATGCATTTATATTGTGTTATTGATTGTTTGTGGGGTAATTTTAATAGTATAAAACCTTTTTCCCACACTCCCAAAGTTCATCCCATTCAGCCATTGCGGCTCGCGCAGTTCGCTGCTAAGCCAGCCAGGTCACATGATTTGCCCTCCTCCTCCTTCGCCTTCCACTGCCTTCTTTGCTATATAGTACTGTAATGTATTATGTATAATGTAATTTAAAAAAAAAAATTGTGACCGAACGAAAGGATATTTTTGAAAACTTTCTTCGGCAATATTGTTCTAAATTATGGCAGGAATCGATTGGTACATGTTTCAAGTCGCTAAGTGGTCTGGTTGCCGAGATATTGGCCAAAAACTGCAAATTTTTTTTTCGAGGTTTTTTGGCTTTTCCGGGAAATCCAGGAAGGAATTCCAGGAATTTTGTTGGCCCACAATCATCCTCGGAACTTGCTTAACATATTTGCTTTGAAACTAGTCCTCGATATTGCTTCGTTGAGGAGGAGATACGACTTAAAGCTGCGGACATCCATCCATCCATCCATACAGAAATGACGAGTTAATAATCGCAATTCCAGTATAGAAATTGCGCTAAAAACTAGCCAGATCTACAGAACCTAAGTAAGCCTACCCTTAATAAACTTTTTGTAAATTCGTTTATTTTTTATAAAAATTAAATAATTTTTATAAAACGAAATATGGACTCGGGTCTGATCTAAATGGCCTTCCGTGCTTATACCGAAGGAAACACCGTTTCTTGTTACCTCCTATGGTCGTCCTTTGACCGTAGAAATTTTTATGAGATTTAACGACACGTTTTTATTGTTGTAGCTTTTTTCTTTTAATACAAAAACGCTATGTTTATAAAAGGTAATATGATCAGCTTTGACCCCATTAAAAATTGTCCCAGATTTTACACGGGGGGGGGGGGGGGGAGATGTCGACATGAAATTGTTTTCGATATAATATCATACTGTATTTGTAGAGCAAAGATCAGTCGACGTCAGTTTTCACTAACTTACCGTGGACTGATGCCCATCGGTGTTCTATTTGCCCGACAACATGCCGTATTAGTAGCGGCTGCATCACCAGTAAGTGCCCTAACCGGCTCTGCCCCCCCCCCCCCCCAAGATGCCTGGAAGAAACACTGTAATGAAACTAATTTACTTTCTTTAATAAAAGCTTTGGCCGCTAAAATATGTAAGATAGGGATCATCGAAAAGAAAACAAAGAATACGCTTATCTAAGGAAGTGGTCACTCACGGTCAGTTTTCAACCTGCGTGCCTCATTGCCGAGTGAATTGCCGAGGCCTGTGTCAAAAATAATGTTCAGAGCCTAAGTACCCTTAAAAATTGTTAACATTCGTCTTGCTTTTAACGAGATGTACAATGTTTAATTAGGGAAAAACGACTGGTCAGCTTTGACCCCTTTACCGATAATTCCCAAAAGTGGCTTTCGTCGATAAAATTTCTTTTTCGATATATAACATAAGGCGCTGGTCATTTAAGATCAGCTTTCAGTGACTTTCACCCACTCGCCTACTTCATAGTGTTCAGTAATCAAATGGAAAATATTACAATGGTATAATTTTAATTTTAGTCCATGTTTGAGGGCCTCAAAGATGAAAAGTGACAAAGCATAATTGTTGTAAAACACATGTTGGTAAAGTGTATGAAACAGTAGATTAGAGATAGAAAAAAAACAAAAAAAAACAATAAAGCTTATTTGATTAACAAACGTTAAAATCAAGGAAAATTAAAATATAATCAATATATCAACCTTACGATTTCACACTTTGTCACCCAATTACAGAAACTTGTCACCTCTAGTCTAACAGTACCTTATTTACTCTCACCTTATATATATATATATATATATATATATATATATTTGGTATATATATATTTGGTATATATATCTACATACATGTACAATTGTAGCCTATAAATAAAAAGTTTTGACGTTTTAAATTGTTCACATTTTGAAAAAAATATAGATTTAAATAAATTATAACAAGTATAATAATACAAAGAAATACATGAAATTATTTCAGAGAAACAGCGGTTGTATGATTAAAAAAAACACTTGTATGAATATTACATGAACATGTTTGTCCATAACATGTATATGTGAAACTGCATTGTACAAGATTTATTTTGCAACAATAAAGTCATTGAACCTGCCACAGTGTAGAAGACAACATTGTTTCTTCATTGTTTTATATAGGTGTGTAAATATATATATATATATATATATATATATATATATATATATATATATATATATATATATATGTGTGCGAATCAAACAAGGTAATCGTAAAGTATGGGCTGTGATGATTTATGACATCCATTCTTTCCTTGAAGTGTTTTTTCCCTTGTGTGACTAATTTGGAATTGTTGTTGCATAATTTAACAAAATTAATTTTTCAACCTTGCCTTAACTGCATTCTTAGTGACATCATACAAATGGACAACAGGCTGATGTTTCAAATGTATACAAGAAAACATTCTGACAATTTAAACAAGTTTAAAAAAACATTGTATCTGCTAATTTTTAAAATAAAATGTTTAGATAGCCAATACATTTGTAGGCCTATTATTCTCTATGACAAATAATAGAATGATAAGGATTATATCCTGTATAGGACACCTAACGACAGTGAGAACTTTTTAAATGACAAACATCAAAGTCATATTTTCTGTCTCCACTTTGTGACCTCAGTGCAAAATTCATCATTTTATCATAAAGATTAGTGATCCTTGTGAACAAGAATTTTATGACCAACATAAATTCAGGAGGCTAATTTCCTGAATGAGACTTCTGATGGGTAGATAGAGAAGATATCCAAGAAAACATTTTATGACACAAATCACATTCATATCTTTTGTCTCTTGAATGAATCTTTTCATGTATAGATAAATAACTTCGCTGACTAAACTTTTTATGGCACACATCACATTCAAATGGCTTAGTTATTTCCAGAGTGAATAATTTTGTGTGTATTTAAACTAGATTTATGAGCAAACTTTTTATGACACACATCACATTCATGAGGCTTATGTCCAGAGTGAATAATTTTGTGTGTATTTAAACTAGATTTATGAGCAAACTTTTTATGACACACATCACATTCAGGAGGCCCAAGTGGACCATCTGAATGAGTCTTTTTATGCTCCAATAAATGATTTCTCTGAGAATACTTTTTATGACAAACATCACATTCATGTGGCCTAAGGCCAGAATGAGCAATTTGATGTCGAGATAACTGGGACCTCTGAACAAACTTTTTATAACACACATCACATTCATATGGTTTCTCATGTAAATGAGTTTTTTTATGCTGAGATAAATGACCTTTTAGATTGAAACGTTTTTGACAAACATCACATTCATATGGCTTGAGATTAGAATGTATATTTTTATGGTCAGATAAATAATTCTTCGAATTGAACTTTTTAAAACACACATCACATTCATATGGTTTCTCATCTAAATGAGTTTTTTTATGCTGAGATAAATGACTTTTTAGATTGAAACGTTTTTGACAAACATCACATTCATATGGCTTGAGATTAGAATGTATATTTTTATGGTCAGATAAAGAATTCTTCGTAGTGAACTTTTTATGACACAGATCACATTCATGTCTTTTGTCTCCTGAATGAATCTTTTCATGTACAGATAAATTACTTCGCCGACTAAACTTTTTATGGCACACATCACATTCATATGGCTTATGTCCAGAGTGAATAATTTTGTGTGTATATAAACTAGATTTATAAGCAAACTTTTTATGACACACATCACATTCAGGAGGCCCAAGTGGACCATCTGAATGAGTCTTTTTATGCTCCAATAATTGATCTTTCCGAGAATACTTTTTATGACAAACTTCACATTCATGTGGCTTATGTCCAGAATGAGTCATTTGATGTCGAGATAACTGGTACCTCTGAGCAAAGTTTTTATGGCACACATCACATTCATATGGCTTATTTCCAGAGTGAATAATTTTGTGTGTATATAAACTAGATTTATGAGCAAACTTTTTATGACACACATCACATTCATTGCATCTGTCTGCAGGATGTAACTTCTTGTTTTTTTTTTTCATAGCACCTTGTTGCTGATGAAAATCATACCCATATAAATTCTTTCTTGTGTGAGTTTTCATATGTTGTGTAATATGATTAAATTGAGTAAATCTTTGACAACACATATCACACTTATATGTCTTCAGTCCCTTATCCCTGAGCTCATACATTGTTGGAAAATTATCAATAACTTCTTTATGCAATTCCTTGAGTTCTTTTAAATCATGATGAAGATCTGATTTTAAAACTGTAAAATTTTCAATAAAAGCATCTAAATCTGGTAAATATTCAAGCTGTCTTTTAACATCTAAGGTATTTTTGTTTTCACCACTAAATGTTGAAAATGTTAATATATCCTTTTTCATAACATCACAACTTAAAAATTCTGTTGAAACATTTGGTTTCATATCTTTAGAATAATAAAATGTTTCATCTGATTGTTGATCTGAAGTTGAAAATGGAACTGTTTCATTTGACTTGACTTCAAAAGGTGAAGATTGTGATGATATATTTTGATTGATAACATTTGAAGTTGAAAGCAATGTTGAATTTGGTTTCACATCTTCTAAAGTTAAAATTGCCAATGTTACATCTGATTTTAAATCCATAAATTGTATTGCTTGGTCATTTGATTCCTGTTTAACCACAAGTGCACTTTGTAAAGACATGGCTAATTTTCCCAGTCTGTTCTGCATAAATTTAAATAGATGGCTAAAAAAGAGAAAATAATAATAGTTTATAATAGATATGAACAGAAAATAAATTGTTTAAAATCTTTTATCCATAAATATAGACATTTAAAAAAAAAAATAACTCTCTAGCAATTTAATACTTCAACGAGAGTAATATTTTTTAAAGTTTTCAACTTTTTAGTAACTCTCTTCATAAGATGAGTAGAGATTAATTACTTTTGGCCTAAGACAAAATTTTATTTTATTTAAACTTAGTAATTTTCCTTCAACAAATGTTGATACTCTGTATAGTATACTTTAAAGTGTGATTACTGAAGTAAATACCAAATAGTGCAAACTTTGCTTATGAGTCCACAGTAATTGTTAAGGTTATAAAAATAATAATTTAGAATCACAAACAATGCTTGCCAGATGAATCAACCTCATCTGATTTTTCTGGTATAGCTCTCAGTCAGCCCTTAATAAGATTTACATAACGTAGAGTCTATTTCAAGTCAACTGTGATTAACAGTATTAGGGCTTTTCAGAGTCATGACTGTTTTTGATACATTTAATGTTTAAAAAACACAGAATGAGCATGAAAGTGAGTGGACGATTGGACATAAGTGGCTGTCATGCTGGAAGGTGTGGGTTCTAAACCAACTGATGCCTACTTTCCTATAACTCTTTTTGTAGGATGCCTAATTGTCAAAATTTTATCTTTTCCCCGTTATTCATGGAAGGGTTACTTTTGTAAAAAAAAAAATTTCTTATGTGACAAGATTGCTGGTCAATCTTAAAAAAAAAAAACAACAACAACTGAGCCTTAGATTTTTGCTAAGAGAAAAAAACAGGTTGGGAAAATTGTGATGGAAACTTTGAATAATAACTGATTAAAAAGGACATGCTATTAATATTATTAATTTAAAAATAAACCCAGGAGTGATCTCCCCTAAACTTTCTCGAATATTCTTATATAAAACAACAGGGGGTGGGAACTCGGGCTATAGACATGATTTTTAACCCTTTCCCCGGCGACTGGGTGTAATCGACCCAAAGTCGCTATATTTTTGCTCATATCTCGAGTCTCGTTTTATAAATTTTTCTGGGCCTCATTCCCATCTATAAGGTGGTTGGGATGAACACATTGGAGGTTGTAAATTTTTAAAATATGCGTAAAAAATTTTTTAATGAGAGTTTGAAATTTTTTTATACGGTCCCTGGCAACTGGGTGCTACACACCCGTACATAATTTTAAATGGAAAAAAAATATTTATAACTTAAAAACTGGCTTCTTAATATTTGTTTTTACACATGTGGGTTAAGTCATTGTGTTACATTTTCAAAGTTTAACTATAAATTAACAATCTGAAGGTATTTGAGTAACAAAAATATCAAACTGGATTGAAGTAATCAACTTTAGTAACAAAATAATAGAACATTAACACGTTTTAAAAATTTGCACCTCAGAGAGCACAGTTGTTAGTTAAAATTAAAATAACTGGACATTTCCTTTTGCTGGCAGGGAAATTTAGTTTTTTTTAATAAAATATGGGCACCCTTTTAGTGGTGTTAAATGAGTCACAGGTCCAAAATATTTTATTTCCATACTTATCGGAATTGCTTGGTATGTATTGGATAAATCTACTACCACCTCTAAAATCAACCAGTTGCTAATTAGTAATGATCTCTCCAGAAACATAACTTCTTTCTAAATTTGAATGGAATATCTACCATAATGGAAGCAAATATACCATGAGCCTGATGGACTGTTAGTGTTATTGTTGTGAAATTCAATATGACCCAGAAGGTTGCTGAATCTCTTCACAGAAAATTCTGCCTTCAAAAACCTTCCATAAGCAGAACTGAATTGACATACAACTAAATTTTTATTCTGTAGAGTGCCAGTGTCTCCTCTTGCTTTCTCTCCATCCCTGCTAATGCAGTCAAATATTGGTTGTATTATTTTTTGTATTCATGCACAGAAGAAATATTTTGGGTCAGGCTGTTTATAAATTTCCTGGGATTAGCACTTCAGATTGTGGTCTAGTGTACTGTTACTTTGTCTTTCCTGAAAATATTTATTTTTCTTCACTTTGCACCAGCCGTTTCATGTCATTATGAGTGCCAACTGTTGACACATTATTGATAGTTGAAATGCAGTATATTGGGTAGACCTCGTCATCAGAGCTGCTTGATACTGAACCAGCATTGTCTTCAAGTAATGATGGCTACCATTCTTCATCTTCTACCTCTGATACTGATGGCTGCCATTCTAATACTTGAGCCTCAAAACTTGTTGGTCATTTTCACCTACTATACTAAAACTGGCAAATATATTCCTTTATCATTAGCACTTGAGTTTAGACAAAAGTGTTCAAGGCTTGTTTCTGTTGTGTTCTCGATAGCGTTTGTGACTATTTATAAACCTTACTCTCAGGGTCACAACCTGTAGAACACCCACCCCACTCCCAGTTTGATCAATTAATTGCCCAGTATTAACTTTCAAGCAGCATTACAAAGTTGTTTTGCCTTTTTGTCCTCATTCGTACTCCTAATGAGGTTAATGTCAAGTTACTCTAAAAGGCTCGAATGTCTCTATCTACATTCCAGAGCTCCCAAAAAGAGTACAAATCACTATATATGTCCTCCCACAGGCAATCTTACCCCTGCATTTCATTAACCTATTGTAACTCTAAACAACAGTTCTGTCTGTAACTGCAAGTCAAAGCTCCAGCAAAGAGTATAAATCACTACATATGTCCACCCACAGGTTAACTCTTGCTTGAGAATCCCATCAACCTGTAGTATCATATTACAGCTCTCCCATTGACAACAACATGTCTAGTGTTCCCCATGGCCACAATGCCCTGAATACCTCAACTGTGTCAGTATTGTTACCCACCCCACAATGAACAAAGAAAAGAATTTACTATAAGAAAGTCTTTGGGTGTGATCCACCCAGTTGCCGGGGACAGGGTACCAAATATGTTGCCGGGGAAAGGTTTAATCCATTTTAAATACTTAAAGTTTTAAAAATAGAATAAAATCTCGTAGACAAATTAATTGCACACCAAGTGAACACCAAATAAAAAAGTGCATAATAGTGCGCAATATTATTAGTACTTTATAAATTTACATGCATTTTTTGAGAAATCGGAAATAGCGTAAATTAGTAGGCCTACTTCCAGTCAACGGAAATTACTCAAAATTTGACAGAAGGTAGAGAATTAGATCTTTTACTTACATGTGAAATTTCATTTATCTATCTGAAATTGTACTCAAGTTATAGGCTTTTGAAAAATTCAAAGTAAAAAAAGTACCACTTCCTGTTATCGGAAATCGCTCAAAAGTTGATCAAGATCTACGATTTTTATAAAATACTTATATATGAAATTTGATCAACCTAGCTGTAACTGTACTCAATTTATCGTGTTTACACACAGACAGACACACACAGACATACAGACAATTATGTTTTTCCGTATCAGTGAGGTGTAAAACGTCGAGATTTGTAAAAATCTTGATTTTTTTTTTGCAAGATTACAAGACTTTCTCTATAGGCCTACTTCGTATATACGAGAAAGTAAAAAAGTATCAATAATAGCTAGCACACTAGTAAATAAGTCAATTTAGCATATATTAACTTTCTGTGCAATGAAAAAAAATTCCAAAGTCAGGTCGGCCTGTGGCACCCTTCACTGAACTTAACAGGATGAAAAACTTGACCTGTGACTTTCATTAAAACAATTTACTAATGTTTTTTTTTACTATAAGTAAAAGTGTCTTTAATCTTACCCAAATAAGTAATAAAAATTTGACAATTAATTTTAATTACTGTTGTAAAGAGAGATAAACAGCTTAATAAACACATGCTTTCTGAGGGGATGTGGCACATGGCAATTGGAACTTTGTATTTCTGTGTATTATGACTATATTTGTACACAATCAGCATGCTATGCTTTTTAAATTGATAAAGGGTAAGTATACAAAGTTATAAAACCTGCAATCTAACTAATGCTTCATACTTTCAGTTTAAAAAATAATAAAAACGATCATCAATGAAGAAAGCGTAAACATTCTATTTTTAGGTATGCCATAAAAAAAGTCATAAATCTGGCAAAATGATTGGATTCTTGCACAGCACACTTTTTCCCGTGCCTCGTTTTCACCAAAAGAGATTATAATAAAATGGCATTATTGCGGGGTGATAATTTTTACCAAGCTCATCTTGTAACTACCAAACAAAGCAATTAGGTCAAAAAGTAGATCTGACAATTCTTAAATAACAGACTTAAATAGAAACGGATAGTTCCGATTTCTAAAATTAAAGATGGCCTTGTAATCATTACTTTCAACTTTTATCCTTATACCGTTTAGTGAAAGCAAAACTGGTCACCATTTAAGTAAGCGCATGAGCCATAAGATGCCACGATGACAAACCCAGAAGCAGTTGAATTGAACGGCCTACATATTACTGCATAAGCTAAATCCTCCTAAACATGTGAAATAATTATTAAAATTTAAGGAACCACCAGTTTTTCACACAGGGTTCCTACACCAAAGTGAACTTAAAATTCCATGAGATTTTAAGTTTTTCAGGAGAAAACCAAAATTTCATGACATAATTTATTGCATTAAAAAGCAACAACAACTCAACCCCTCGCTGAATGGAAGGAAGTTTGACATTGCTCAAACTAGGAAGTGGTCTTTATAAAATGCTTTGTAGCATAGCATTTGTAATTTTTAAAAAGTAAATATCTAAACCATTTAGTTGAGTTAACGTAGATTTAATTTTGCACCCCACCCCTCCCATTTATCAGTTGTTATTAATAAAATTGCCATTTCCCCTCCCGCATTTGGAAAATTTGGTGGCACTTTTTACCAGTGACTATTCTCTAAGTTTTTATCTTTGTGAAACACAATTGAGGTAGAGAAAAGATCAGTGTGTAGAGTCTTGTAGCCGTTTATTTTCTTAACTTTTACTGTGTATAATTCAATAAGCCTACTTCAGCATAAAATGTGCTTTTTATAAAAACTTTTAACAATAAACTAATTTAAAATGTTAATCAATTATGTTTGCACTGTTGTTTTCAATTCAATGATTACTGAAATAGTGAGAGTTAGTTCACTTGGCAAAAAAATAATAGATTAATTTAGACCTTTGCAACTGTGAAAGATATTGAGCCTAGCAATCATAGCCATAATTCCAGTGTCAAGAGACTTAACCCCTCCCCACCTCACCAATGTCAGCCTCCGTATTAACAATGTCAATAATAAACATAATATATATGAAAGTCTTCAACAGTAAATAGCCTAACTGTAATTTTAGCCTTTTATCATTTGATGAACAAGTAGATCAATCTGAGTAGCTTAAATAGGTTCTACTAGAAATAAACTGTATTTTGGAAACAATACTTGAAAATATATAACATTTCAGCAAAAAATAGAATCTAGATCTAGTATTTCCGATACCTCATAGTTTTTTTTTTTCAATTGCCGGTAGCGTATTTTTCCACCCAGCTAGACACGGTCGCGCGGGGTCAGTTTGAGATCATCAAAGCTTACAGTTGGCCTGTAGTATACATCATATCGAACTATGGATTGAAATTAGCTGGGCAAAAACTAGATTTGGGCCTACTTGTAATGTGTAATTAAAAAAAAAAGAACTTGAGGCCTATCAACAAACTGAGCTACACTCGTAGAATGACGTGAGAAAAAAAGTCAAACCCAACCCACAGGTTAAAGACAGCTAGGTCTATATTTTTAATGTGTGTCTTGTATGCACAGAATCGATAAAGCAGAACATTTTACTGGGTCGGTCAGATCTGATTACCTAGAGATCTAACGCACGAAAAAAATATACGCTAAAATTATTGACGCGAGTAAAATTTCAGGACATTTTACAAAATTTCAGGAGAAATGTTAAAATTCCAGGAGAATTCAATAAGTTTTTTTGATTTTTTAAATTTCAGGAGAATTCCAGGAGGCCACGGGAATCCTGTTCACATTACTTGTCACGGGCGATTTTACGGGTAATCTATTGCTTTGGCAACTTTTTTACAATGTATTGTGCCACACCCGGGTCACACCCTTAAGGAAATACGTGTTTATTAAGCTGTTTACTCACTTTACAACAGTAATTAAAATTGATTTTCAAATTTGTATCACTTATTGGGTAAGATGAAGCACATGTTTACTAAAAATAAAAAAAATATAAAAAAGCAATGAAGGTCACGGGTCAAGTTTTTTTTCCTTCAGTCAAGTTCAGTGGAGGGTGCCATAGGCTGACCTGACTATGGAATTTTTTTTTTCAGTAATAATGACTTAGCACAGAAAGTTAAAATATGCTAAATTGGCTTAGTTTACAAGTGTGCAAGCTATTATTGATACATTTTTAATTAAAAAAATCATTCTGTAATTCTCATCAAAAAGCCTAGCAACAGGCTGACCTGACTCTGGAATTTTTTTCAATAATAATGCCTATGCGCAGAAAGTTAAAATATGCTAAATAAATTGGCTTAGTTTACAAGTGTGCTAGCTTTTATAAATTATTAATATAATTTTTAATTAAAAAATCATTAGGCCTATGAAATTTTCATCAAAATGCCTAGACTACTTAAAAAAACGTAAAAGTTTAAAAGGAATCACATTTTCGGTTATCTATCGTTTTGGGTACGTAAAATCGCCCGCGGCTATTAATGTACGAAAACGTTACCTCATTGTCAAGGCTTTAATAGAAGTATATTGTCATATGTTTGTATCAAATATTATAGATAAATGAATAATAAACCTAAATCAATGGCTAGGTAAAACCTTAGTTTAGCGTCGGAAATTATCGGGTAATGTTTGTTGAGTTTCGGTAAACCTTGGTTTATTTGACCATTGAAATATAAATAAATTAAAAATCGATTGTTGTAAATTAATGTTTTAATTTTTTAAGTTTAATAGACAAAAGGAAACAAGAATAAATATAATAGTAGATTTAAATTAGTAGATCTAAAAATAAAACATATATTAATATAATTATAAATAATGAAGTCAAATGTAATAATGTAATGTTTTTGGCCTGCAGCGGATTTGCGACCACTAATTAATTAGATCTAGATCTAGCTAGCTGTCAGGCCAAGTAAAAGATCTAGATTACGAAAATAGTAAAAATTATTAGAAAGATGTAAAAATGATTACAAAACGAGTAAAAGTGACTAGAAACAGGGTTCGTACAATATTTTGAAAATGAAACAAGACCTTTGTAACCACACCATTATTTGTGCTTAAGGCTGAGAAACTTGTGTCTGCTATTAAAAACTACCAGTACCCCCCCCCCCCCCACACAACAAGAGACGGTGGAGGGGCCACTGTGAGGTGACAGTAGCCCAGTCTAATACGTCATATCATGAACTATACCGTAACTTCTATCCCCCCTCCTCCCTCACCTAGCCAAACAGCACAAGCTACGTACTTGGGGTCACGGTGAGTTCATACAAATTTAGATATCAGTGACCTTAGTTACTATGAGGGGCGAGTTAGTCTAGCCCTAAACGTTTTCACGGTCAGTCAAGCAACAACAACAAAAAAACAGGTCTTACACTCTCCCCCCCCCCCCCTCCCCCAATGATGCAGTAACTGAGAAATCAGGTTTCTTCTGCGATACCCAGTGAAAAACGTTATACCACAGTGTAGACCCATCCAGACTTTTTCCAGATTGCGTACGAACCCTGTTAAACAATGTTTAGTAGCAGAAATATTTAGCTGAAACACTCAAAAATAACTAGTTATACAAAATGAGTAATAAAGCAGTATTTAACACGCAATTAAAATAAATCTATTCACATTTTAAACGTTCTGTTTTAAAAATAAAAGATGACGCCAAATAAAGTATGGTTTACAGTACTTCCGGTGGTTACCGGAACTGTATGATAGACTTTGCCATTGTTTTACTGTTTTTTACTGCTATACCATTCCGGAATAATAACCGACGCTAAACTTAGGTTTTACCAATGACTAAATATATCGATATAGGCCAGAAATTAACTTTAAACAGCAGTGTCTGAGAGTGAGAGCAAGATTTGCTATATAAACAGCAGCCATTTGTAAAATAGAGTGGCTTCCCCCTGAATCTCGCGCTAAAAGCTTATAAAAATAAAACTTAAACAAGATGGCTGCTATAGTAAATGAGCATGGTTGCATCTGTTGGAAATATCGCTAGTCTTCATTTATTACGGAAAAGTTTTAATTCAATTGTTTAAAAACAGGTACATAAATGAAACAAGGAAACATTTTTGTATTTTAAAAAACATAAATCCTCCTCAAAATGTGAAATAATTATTAAAATGTAAGGAGTCACCTGTTTTTCACATTACTAGTCGCGGGCGATTTTACGTACCCAGACGATAGATTACCACATTTTCACATTACTAGATCTAGATCTAGATCTAGATCTAGTACTAGAGTCGCGGGCGATTTTACGTAAAACGATAGATTACCATTTTAGTAACGTACCTGTCCTAAAACTAAAACTATAGATTATCCCATATTTAATCAATTAGGCACTAATTTTGAAGTTTTTAGTTTGTTTCAAACTAAATTACTTAATTTAATATTAATTGTCACTCACTGCCATGCACGACACACCTCTCCATAACAACACAATTAATTAATGCACCAGAAATCCTCACTAGAGATGAGCCAAATAGCGGTAACGTGGTTTTTAAAAATAAAAATAAATTGGTTGAGATATGAGAGCCAGTCTTATTATAAAAAAAAAGTGCCTACAATATTTGATTTCTTTTTACATAGACTGATAGACGTAATAGTGCTTTACTTACACGATCATTTTTGTGCCTACATTGTTGATATTTTTCAATTTTTATTTATTTGAATGAAACCGACTTTTGAATTTAGCTCACGTTCTCCAAACCAAATTTTTAACTGCTTTTCTGGCATATATAGCCCTGCTACCTATGGTTTGTTTTTATAGGTGACCGGAAAGAACCGCAACGGAAATAAGCGCAACGGAAAAAAGCGCAAAACAAAAAGGACAACGGAAAAAAGCGCACACGTAAAAAAGCGCAAAGAGAAAAAAGCGCACACAGAAAAAAGCGCAAACAGAAAAAAGGGCAAACGGAAAAAGCGCAAACGGAAAAAAGCGCAATCGGAAAAAGCGCAAAACAAAAAGCGCAACGGAAAAAAGAGCACACGGAAAAAAGCGCAAAGAGAAAAAAACTCACACAGAAAAAAGCGCAAAGAGAAAAAAGCGCAAACAGAAAAATGCGTAACCAGAAAAAACACAACGAAAAATGTGCAAAAGAGAAATTTAGCACAAAGACCATATGGACTAGATGACACATTTATACATGACTGTTAGGGCTGCTGTGAGCGTGTCGTGTTCGATCACGTGATCTACTACCATTTAAAGCGTACCACTACCATGTGCATTCCTATCACCACGATACAGGCGATAATTACTTTACACAATGCCTATTATTTTCTTGGTCAATAATTATTCAACTACTATTCTCGTATAAATAAACATTAAACTATGCTTGATATCGACATTACACGAAGCATCTTTCACATTCTCCCTAGTCCGAACTACCTAGCTTGCATGCCCGTTCCTATGGCAAAACTTCACTCTCTTTCATCCGCGTCATCAAACATGCATTCGTCATATTTCTCGCAATAACATTCATTCGCAACAAAATGCCTGATAAAACACACATCATAACAATGATATATTTACTATTATTTCATAATGACGCACCTACCTACCTACCAACCTACCTCCCTCCCAACCTACGTACCTACCTACCTACCTACCTACCTACCTACCTACCTACATACCTATCTACCTACCTACGTACCTACGTACCTACCTACCAACCTACTACCTACCTACCTACCTACCTACCTACCTACCTACCTACCTACCTACCTACCTACCTACCTACCTACCTAACTTCCTACCTACCTACCTGCCTACCTACCTGCCTACCTACCTGCCTACCAGCCTGCCTGCCTACCTACCTACCTACCTACCTACCTACCTAGCTACCTACCTACCTACCTACCTACCTAACTACCTACCTACCTACCTACCTACCTGCCTGCCTACCTGCCTACCTACCTACCTACCTACCTACCTACCTACCTACCTACCTACCTACCTACCTACCTACCTACCTACCTACCTACCTACCTACCTACCTACCTACCTACCTACCTACCTACCTACCTACCTACCTACCTACCTACCTACCTACCTACCTACCTACCTACCTACCTACATACCTATCTACCTACCTACGTACCTACGTACCTACCTACCAACCTACTACCTACCTACCTACCTACCTACCTACCTACCTACCTACCTACCTACCTACCTACCTACCTACCTACCTACCTACCTACCTACCTACCTACCTACCTACCTACCTACCTACCTACCTACCTACCTACCTACCTACCTGCCTACCTACCTGCCTACCTACCTGCCTACCAGCCTGCCTGCCTACCTGCCTACCTACCTACCTACCTACCTACCTACCTAGCTACCTACCTACCTAACTACCTACCTACCTACCTGATTTTTTTTTGGGGGGGGGGATTTTTTTTTTGGGGGGGGGGGCAACATTTTTGGGGGGGGGGCGGACACTAGTAAAAGTGTATGTTTACTTTATAAATTCCATTTCGTTCGGAAGGGGTGGTCGGTAAAAGAGATGCCTGGAAGAAACTCAGCCCATTATGCTGTTCAGTACATGTTTTGGTTGGGAATAGGATTGTTACATATAAGTATTCGCATAGATTTAGAGTAGCGTCCCTTTTGTTTACATGTTTTCATTATCCTTCAAACAAAAGTCTATTTTAGTTATATTGAGATTAAAGAATGTAAATAAATAGTACACACAATTCTGTAGAATAGGAACGATTGGGAGGGAAGTTACATTTATATATATATACTAGCCGTCCCGGCCAGGCCCTGCTCTGGCTTCTGTGAAAAACCTTTCTGTTAAAGACCATTACCTGTGTGTTTAGTAATCATCATAAACCCGGCATTGCCCACCCAAACCACAACCAACCAAAACCAAAACAACAAAACGTAAACAAAACGCTAACACAATTACAAATACAAACGAAAACAAAAACCTAACAACAAACCCAACCACAACCACAAACACCAATACAAACACAAAGAAAAAACAAAGAAAAAACAAACAAAAAAGCAAACGAAAACAAAAACCTTACAACAAACCCAACCACAAACACCAATACCAACAAAAAAAACAACGAAAAAGCAAACGAAAACAAACCAAATCCAAACGCAAAACCAACCAAAAAACACAAATACAAACCCAAACAAAAAACACAAACAAAAACGATAAAGAAAGAACAAAAACGAACCAAATCAAAACGCAACCACTAACGCAAACCCACCTAAACACGAAGAAAACACTAATGCGAACATAAACGCCCGGGGCGGAATCACCTGTTTTAGCTTAATGAACGACTATAGTACCCCAACTTATTCACAGTCTTTTGCACTCACTTAAACGAACGCGCCTGTTTCAATTTAATGAACAATTATAATACTCCAAGCTTATCCGTAAAATACCTACAACATTTGCACTTGATCAATCCCCGCTAATTATGTAATTATTTTTTTTCCCAACACCAAAATAAAGTAATTAAAAAGTAAATTCTTTCTCCACAAATGCATCGGTTTTATAAAGGGAAGTAATTGTGTTTTCCTAATTTATCAAAGGGAAGTAAGTGCTATAGGACTAAATAAAGACATAATTAGAATTGTTGTAAAAGATGATATTTTTTTAAAATTTGTGTTTAATAAACATGCCGAAAATTATTACTTTCAGTTTGATAAATGAAAATCATTTCCCAAAACTTTCAATATTAATTTTTAAACTCATAAATGTAGACCGTAAGGACTTTAATTATGTAACACTTAAATCCATCGATAACCAACGACATACATATGCGTTACAGAATTGAGCTTTATATTATATATATATATATATATATATATATATATATATATATATATATATATATATATATATATATATATATATATATATATATATATATATATATATAAAGCAAAGTGGTTGGGTGCTGCAAAGTCCACGAATAGAGGGTCAAAACTCACCTCGACTGACCGGCGCCTTATATGAGCTATATTTGAGCGACCCCCACCCCCTTGATATTTTGCGAGGTGGTAGATAAACACCTGGGGTGTCAGGAAAAACCCGCCATATCTGGGAAAATATTTAAAAGTGGTCAAAATTGACCAGTCGTATTTCCATATGCAAACTTTGTATTTTATGTCAAAAAACAGGAGAATTTCAACACAGATTTTGGGGTACTAAACCTCTGTACATCTGGCTAATTTTTGGCATGTACCTCTATAGGTGACTAGGCCTTATGGACAAATTGTTGATCAGACTCAAAGCCCTCGACGAGGGCTAAAAAATGGCCGCGATTGAAATTCTCCTTATATATAAATAAATTGACGAACTTCCCTCAGAGATTATCGCGCTGCACGCTGGCGCGGGTCCCCGCAATGGGGCGGATAGTTTTTTTTAACGCACTGCGCTGCGCGCGGGTGTCGGTATCCTCAGAGTTTACCGCTCTGCACGCTTCGCTACCGGGTCAAAACCACCCCGCGTCTCCCCTGCACAAGCTGTGATAGTGGTGTGCCATGAAAGCTCTATTTTTGTAGAGCTGATTGGCAGAAGTGGTTACACGTCTGACTTGATGCATGGAGGGCGAAGGCGATTGGTGCCGTGTGGAATGGTAGGTTTGAATCCCGTTGGTTTCTGGCTGCTTGTCTTTACTTGGACTAGTTTCTGTACCTTTGTATACCCTTGACGTTGAAATATCAATTTCTGTTAATATTGCTAAATCACTAAAACATGAATATATTAGAGTAGAGTGACAGCAGAGTAATATAGTACTTTCGGTTTGTTTCAGCGTGAAACGGTTACAAAATAGCGCCCGATGAAAATCCTGAGTCCGGAATTTTCCGCTATGTGTGATCGGTTGTGGAACTTTACTCTAGTTTTATAAACTAAATAGTTTATTTATAGAGTATACCTAGTCCAGAGGTCTCCAAACTGTTATTTTCATGTTTTACCGGATTTTTTTTCTCAGTAGGTCTACCTAGATGTATGCTGTCATAAAACGACTTATATTTTTTTTTTTTGCCTTCCCGTTTAATTAAACCCACACATTTCTGATAATTGAATGCTCAACACACTAATATTAATTTTAAGTAATGAATTATTTATTTGAAGTTATATATAAGATCATTATTTAGTGTTAAAAAAAGAGAAATAAAAGGTTGAATGTTGTTATGGGGAAAAAATATAATTCTGTCGCGAATTTTTTTTTTACAATAATTATTTTCGTGAGTTTAATAGAAAAAGAAGCACATCTACTTTTTCTATTATTAGCAATAGAATAAACATTTTAATGTTGGTTAAACTTTATAATGGACAAGTCGTAATTCGATAGGAAGTCGTTAGCTTAGCACCTCTCTGTGTACTAGCTAGGGGTAACATGGTCTCCTAGTTTTTGACAGATGGATGGAGAGGAGCGAACACCGTTTTTTAAAACAAATTATACCACGGGGTTGTTCAGCGAACTCGGGTCAGAAGGTTTCGACGTGGGAATTTCTTTTCGATATAGATCTATAGCTTATATCATCTATATATCAGTTTTTGCCCTCAACGAGGATGTAGAGTCTGACCTACACTTTATCCATATGGGCGTGTGAGTTACCGAGGCTAATACAAAAAACTAGCCAGATCTACATAACCTAAGTAAGCATACCCTTAATAAACTTTTTGTAAATTCGTTTATTTTTTTACAAAATTAAATAATTTTATAAAACAAAATATGGACTCGTGTCAGATCTAAATGGCCTTCTGTCATTATACCGAAGAAAACACCGTTTCTTGTTACTTCCCATGGTCGTTCTTTGACCATAGGAATTTTTATGAGATTTAACGATACGTTTTTATTGTTGTAGTTTTTTTTTTCTTTTAATACAAAAACGCTATGTTTATAAAAGGTAATATGGCCAGCTTCGACCCATTTAAAAATTTCCCAGATTTTACACGCTATTTTACAAGCACCTATGGGCATTGGTCTGCAACCTCACTAAATATTGGTGGGGAGGGGGAGAGATGTCGACATGAAATTGTTTTCGATATAATATTATACTGTATTTATAGAGCAAAGATCAGTCGACGTCAGTGTTCACTAACTTACCGTGGACTTTGATGCCCATCGGAGTTTCCTGTGTTCTATTCGCCCGACAACATGCCGAATTAGTAGCGGCTGCATCACCAGTAAGTGCCCTAACCGGCTCTGCTCCTCCCCCACCCCCACCCGAAAAGATGCCTGGAAGAAACACCGTCTGTAATGAAACTAATTAAATTTCTTTAATAAAAGCTTTGGTCGCTAAAATATGTAAGATAAGGATCGTCGAAAACAAACAAACAAATAGGCTTATCTAAGGAGGTGGTCACTCACGGTCAGTTTTCAACCTTGGTGCCGCATGACCGAGTGATTTGCCGAGGCCTATGTAAAAATATGTTCAGAGCCTAAGTACCCTTAAAAATTGTTAACATTCGTCTTCCTTTTAACGAAATGTACAATGTTTATTTAGTGAAAAAACGATTGGTCAGCTTTGACCCCTTTACCGATAATTCCCAAAAGTGGCGTTCGTCGATAAAATTTCTTTTTCGATATATAACATAAGGCGCTGGTAAGATCAGCTTTCAGTGACTTTCACCCACTTCATAGTGTTCAGTAATAAAATGGAACATATTTCATTGGTATAATTTTAATTTTAGTCCATGTTTGAGGGACACAAAGATGAAAAGTGACAATGCATAATTGTTGTAAAACACATGTTGGTAAAGTGAATGAAATAGTAGTAGATTAGAGATAAAAAAAAACAAAACAAAAAACAATAAAGCTTATTTGATTAACAAACGTTAAAATCAAGGAAAATTAAAATATAATCAATTGATCAATCTTTTATGCTTTCAACTTTCACACTTTGTCACCCAATTACAGAAACTTGTCACCTCTAGTCTAACAGTACCTTACTTACTTATCTCTCACCATATATATATATATATATATATATATATATATATATATATATATATATATATATATATATATATATATATATATGTACAATTCTAGCCTATATATAAAAAGTTTTGACGTTTTAAATTGTTCACATTTTGAAAAAAAAAGATAAAAAAATAAATTATAACAAGTATAATAAATGAGAGGAACAGCTGTTGTATGATTTAAAAAAAAAACACTTGTACTTGTATGAATTTAACATGAACATGTTTGTCCATAACATGTATATCTAAAACTGCATTGTACAAGATTTATTTTGCAACAAATTAAGTCATCGAACCTGCCACAGTGTAGAAGACAATATTGTTTCATTGTTTTATATAGGTCTTATATATATATATATATATATATATATATAAAAATAAATTTATATATAAATATAAATATATATATAAATATACATATCAAATAAGGTGCTGTGATGATTTATGACATCCATTCTTTCCTTGAAGTATTTTTACTCTTGTGTGATTTTTTAGGAATTGTAAAATTTAACAAAATTAATTTTTCAACCTTGCATTAACTGCATTCTTAGTGACATCATACAAATGGACAACAAGTTGATGTTTCAAATGTTTACAAGAAAAATTTTTGACAATTCAAACAAGTTTTTAAAAAAATATTGTATCTGCTAATATTTAAAATAAAATGTTTAGATAGTCAATACATTTGTAGGCCTATTATTCTCTATGACAAATAATAGAATTATGAGGATTATATCCTGTATAAGACACCTAATGACAGTGAGAACTTTTTAAATGATAAACATCAAAGTAAGTCATGGGGGTTGGATTGGTTGAGTCGGTAAAGCTCATGGTTGCTAAACCGAAAAGTCTCGAGTTCAAACCCTCGGGCAGATGAGGCTTGTTAGCTGGGGACAGCCACTCTTCTAGGAGAGACAACTCCAAAATCAAACTACTGCTGCCTTGTAGTTTGTTCTTGGTTGGACATAGGCTATGGAAGCAAATCACATTCATATGGTTTTTTATGTAAATGGGTTTTTTTATGCTGAGATAAATAACTTTTAAGATTAAAACGTTTTTGACAAACATTACATTCAAATGGCTTGAGATTAGAATGTACATTTTTATGCTCAGATAAATAATACTTCGTAGTGAACTTTTTATGACAAACATCACATTCATGTGGTTTAACTCTAGCATGAATATTTTTGTGTATAATCAAACTATTCTTCTGAGCAAAATTTGTATGACACACATCACATTCATATGGCTTATGCTCATATGCCCATTCATATGGTTTTTTATGTAAATGGGTTTTTTTATGCTGAGATAAAAGACTTTTAAGATTAAAACGTTTTTGACAAACATCACATTCAAATGGCTTGAGATTAGAATGTATATTTTTATGCTCAGATAAATAATACTTCGTAGTGAACTTTTTATGACACACATCACATTCATGTGGTTTAACTCTAGCATGAATATTTTTGTGTATAATCAAACTATTCTTCTGAGCAAAATTTGTATGACACACATCACATTCATATGGCTTATGCTCATATGCCCATTCATATGGTTTTTTATGTAAATGGGTTTTTTTATGCTGAGATAAAAGGCTTTTAAGATTAAAACGTTTTTGACAAACATCACATTTAAATGGCTTGAGATTAGAATGTATATTTTTATGCTCAGATAAATAATACTTCGTAGTGAACTTTTTATGACACACATCACATTCATGTGGTTTAACTCTAGCATGAATATTTTTGCGTATAATCAAACTATTCTTCTGAGCAAAATTTGTATGATACACATCACATTCATATGGCTTATGTCCAGAGTGAATAGTTTTGTGTGTATATAAACTAGATTTATAAGCAAACTTTTTATGACACACATCACATTCATACGGCTTATGTCCAGAGTGAATAATTTTGTGTGTACTTAAACTAGATTTATGAGCAAACTTTTTCTGACAAACATCACATTCATATGGCTTGAGATTAAAATGTGTATTTTTATGGTCAGATAAATGACTCTTCAAAGTGAACTTTTTATGACACACATCACATTCATGTGGTCTTATTTGTGCATGAATATATTTATGTTGAGATAAAAGACTTTTACTATTAAAACTCTTATGGCACACATCACATTCATGTGGTTTAACTCCAGCATGAATATTTTTGTGTATAATTAAACTATTCTTCTGGGCAAAGTTTGCATGACACACATCACATTCATATGGCTTATGTTCAGAGTGAATAATTTTGTGTGTATTTAAACTAGATTTATAAGCAAACTTTTTATGACACACATCACATTCATATGGCTTATGTCCAGAGTGAATAATTTTGTGTGTATATAAACTAGATTTATAAGCAAACTTTTTATGACACACATCACATTCATGTGGTTTAATTCCATCATGAATATTTTTGTGCATAATTAAACTATTTTTATAAGCAAACTTTTTATGACACACATCACATTCATTGCATCTGTCTTCAGGATGTAATTTGTGCAGAGAAAACTTCTTGTTTATTTTCTTAAGCTGTTTTACATGACTGTGCATAGCACCTTGTTGCTGATGAAAATCATACCCATATGAATTCTTTCCTGTGTGAGTTTTCATATGTTGTGTAATATGATGAAAATGAGTAAATTGTTGACAACACATATCACACTTATATGTCTTCAGTCCCTTATCCCTGAGCTCATTAATTGTTGGAAAATTATCAATAACTTCTTTACGAAATTCCTTGAGTTCTTTTAAATCATGATGAAGATCTGATTTAAAATCTGTAAAATTTTCAATAAAAGCATCTGAATCTGGTAAATATTTAAGCTGTCTTTGAACATCTAGGCTATTTTCGTTTTCACCCTTAAATGATGAAAATGTTAAGATGTCCTTTTTTAAAACATCACACCTTAGAAGTTCTGTAGAAACATTTGGTTTTATATCTTTAGAATAAGAAAATGTTTCATCTGATTGCTGATCTTCCGAAGTTGAAAATGCAACTGTTTCAGTTGACTTGACTTCAAAAGGTGAAGATTGTGATGATATATTTTGTTCGATAACATCTGAAGTTGAAATCAATGTTGATAAATTTGGTTTCACATCTTCTAAAGTTGAAATTGCCAATGTTACATCTGATTTTAAATCCATAAATTGTATTGCTTGGTCATTTGATTCTTGTTTAACCACAAGTGCACTTTGTAAAGACATGGTTGATTTTCACAGTCTGTTCTGCATAACTTTAAATTGATGGCTAGAAATAGAAAAAAAAATAGATATGAACAGAAAAATAAAATGTTTAAAATCTTTTTTCCCTAAATATCGACATTTTTCAAATTTTTTGTTTTAATAAATAACTCTAGCAATTTAATACTTCAACGAGAGTAATATTTTTTAAAGTTCTCAACCTTTTAGTAACTCTCTTCATAAGATTACTTTTGGCCTAAGACAAAATTTAATTTTATTTAAACTTAGTAATTTTCCTTCAACAAATGTTGATACTCAGTATAGTATACTTTAAAGTGTGACCACTGAAGTAAATACCAAGTAGTGCAAACTTTGCTTATGAGTCCACAGTAATTGTTAAGGTTATAAAAATAATAATTTAGAATAACAAGCAATGCTTGCTAGATGAATCAACCTCATCTGTTTTTTCTGGTATAGCTCTCAGCCAGCCCATAATAAGATTTACAAAACGAAGTGTCTATTCCACGTTGACTGTGAATACCCGTATTAAGGCTATTCACAGTCATGACTGTTTTTGATACATTTAATGTTTAAAAAACACAGAATGAGCATGAAAGTGAGTGGACGATTGGACATATAAGTGGCTGTCATGCTAGAAGGTGTGGGTTCTAAACCAACAGATGCCTACTTTCCTTTAACTCTTATTGTAGGATGCCGAATTGTCAAAATTTAATTTTTTCCATGTTATTCATGGAAGGGTTACTTTTGTAAAAAAAAAAATTTCATATGTAACATGATTGCTGGCAAATCGTAAAAAAAAACAAAACAAAAACAAATGAGCCTTAGATTTTTGCTAAAAGAAAAAAAAACAGCTTGGGAAAATTGTGATGGAAACTTTGAATAATAACTGATTAAAAAGGACATGCTATTAATATTATTTATTTAAAAATTACTAGATCTAGATCTATTAGTTTAAATTTAGTTTGAGTGCATAATTGATCATCTACGACCAACGCAGCAGGTATGAACCTTAAGGCTAAACTAAACTTAAACCATAATAATAATAATTTAAATAATGTTTTAGGGCCTAATGAAAATATAACATAATGCAAAATGCATTTCTCTCTTAATATATACCTCACTCCCCCGTAATAAATGCTTTTATTATAATTATTGTAAGATATTATTATTTAAAGCTAGAATCTAGCATGAAATGACAGCAGGCTATTGTGGCTATTCCCAACAGGCTGGGAATAGCCTTGGGCAGTGGCGTCGCTACCGTAAATTTAGTGTAACCAAGGCAAAAAGGGGCCCTTTTCCATCTTTGAAAAATTAAAATTCTTATACTGAAAGTGCAAATCTAAAGTCTGGGGGGCTGGGGGTGTGTGCAAATCGAAAGTTTGTCCCCGGTCGCTGGGAAGGGTCGCTACGCCTCTGAGGGGCCCACTAACACTTTTTGCATAGGGGCTCAAAAATCCTAGCTACACCACTGGCCTTGGCTTTAACAAAATATTCATACTGACCAGTTGAGAGCATGAAAACTAGTTGCTGGTTCAGAATCAAAATTTATCAGACTGAACAATCTGTACAAGTGCAAATGGAAATGACCAGGATGCACTCACCACAGTACATAAATTCATGAAATCCTCCTCAAAATGTGAAATAAATATTAAAATTAAAGTATTTTAAGGCGTCACCTGTTTTTCACATTACTAGTCATGGGCGATTTTATGTACCTAAAACAATAGATTATCCCATATTTAATCCATTAGGCACTAATTTTGAAGTTTTTTGTTCATTTTAAACTAAATTGCTTAATTTAATATTAAGTGTCACTCACTGCCATGCACGACACACCTCTCCAAAACAACACAATTAATTTATGCACCAGAGTTCCTCACTAGAATCTAGATATGAGCCAAATAGCGGTAACATGGTTTTTAAAAATAAATTGGTTGAGATATGAGAGCCGGTCTTATAAAAAAAAAGTGCCGACAATATTTTATTTCTTTTTACATAGACTAATAGACTTAATAATGCCTTAGTTACATGACCATTTTTGTACCTACATTGTTATTTTTTAATTTTTATTTATTTTAATGAAACCAACTTTTGAATTTAGCCCACATTCTCCAAACCAAATTTTTAAATGCTTTTCTGGCATATATAGCCCTGCCACCTATGGTTTGTATTTTTAACACGAAAACCCCGCCATTTTGCTCGTGGTAAACATATGAAAAGAAGGTCACTGGAACTAAGACGAAAAATCGTTGGAAGTCATGCATCCGGTCTGTACGCCATATAGTTTTTAACAACCGGCCAGGCCTCCCGGTTAGCAAGTAATACTACTAATAGTATTAGACTCTAGATCTAGAACTAGATCTAGTAAATACTAGACTCTAGACCTAGTAATACAGTAACAGACCACTATCTGGGTAAAATGCCATTTTAGCGTATTTTATTCCCCGCTTCAGCGTATTTTATTATAAACACAACTGAAACAAAAACATTAGGAAAACTCCTAGGTAATCTATCGTTTTAGGTACGTAAAAATCGCCCGTGACTAGTAATGTGAAAAAAAGGTGACTTCTTAAATTTTAATTTTAATTTCATTTATTTATTCAATTACAGTAACAATAGTAGGCATGAAGGCCTTTTTTCACATTGGCCGTTTTAAAATAAACAAATAAAACAACAATTTAACAGCAATTGCATGGTAACGACATAGCAGTAATATAGCACTAAATGAAGAGATGGTATTAAGGTGAAACACGCGTTTAGATCTGTTAGATAAAAAGGAGTGCAGTAACCTAACTGTAAATTCGTGGAATTTGTATGGAATTAGTTTTTTAAGAAGTATGGTGTGATCAATAGAATCAAAGGCTTTTCTGAAATCGACGAACAGCTTGCCACAGAGTAGGTTTTTGTTAATATTTTAAAGCCAGTTTTCATTCACCTTGATTAAAGCAGTGTGACTAGAATGAAACTTTCTAAACGCAAACTGATTACTATGGACATGCATTTGTTTATATGTATTTCTAGTGGCTTGGAGAGGGAAGAAAGTATAGAAATTGGCCTGTAGTTATTACTAATGGAGACAAGCGAGTTGACGAGATTCCTTCCATAGTGTTGTTGACATGGAATGAAAACGTGCTTTTTAGATTTAGACCGTAAAAAAAAAATAAAAACTTGTAAAATTAATTTAGAAATTTTATATTTATAGAATAAATGCTATAAAAGTTGCAAATCCAGAGAACTTGAAATAATTTGTTGAGTTTAAGGCTACATTTCTATTTATTTTCATCAAGCCTAAGTTATAACCGGATGTTTCACTTTCGTAAGACAAATATTGATTGGCTGTACAGTAACTTAGTGATCGATAACTATTTGTTTACAAAACTTTGCAAATCAAGTTTTTAAATAACAATGCAAATTTAAAACCCCATGACCTAGTTTTCTATTTTTAGCTTACAATGTGTACAATAAAATTTATGTCTGCCTATCCAATAGCAGGATGCCATTGTTTATGTCGCCATTACACGTGAAAACCAAATTGTTTTTGCTTTTTAAAAATTTTTTATTTAGTTACCGAAAACATTAAAAACATCAAATACGTCCAATCTTTAGTAAAGTCCGAAAAAAACCAGACAGACAGGATTTTATAACCATATTAATTGTAACTACGCCGTGCAAGATTTTTAAATTAATTTATGCACCTCTCAAATACCTTTGAGACTTTTCTTGCTTGTGTCCATTAGCATCTTGGATCTTACCTTTATTGTGTAGTGGTATAACCTTAGCATGCTTAAAATGTTTCGGGTAATAATGCTTGGCAATACAGAGGTTATAGATTCTAGATATAGATTTAGTAGCTATAGATCTAGATCTAGATTCTAGATCTAGGTTAAAACTTCAGGGTAATCTATCGTTTTGGGTACGTAAAATCGCCCGCGGCTATTTATGTACGAAAACGTTACCTCATTGTCAAGACTTTAATAGAAGTATATTGTGATATGTTTGTGTCAAATATTATAGATAAATGAATAATAAACCTAAATCAATGGCTAAATATATCGATATAGGCCAGAAATTAACTTTAAACAGCAGTGTCTGAGAGCAAGATTTGCTATATAAACAGCAGCCATTTGTAAAATAGAGTGGCTTCCCCTGAATCTGGCGCTAAAAGCCTATAAAAATAAAACTTAGACAAGATGGCTGCTATAGTAAATGAGCATGGTTGCATCTGTTGGAAACATCGCTAGTCTTCATTTATTACGGAAAAGTTTTAATTCAATTGTTTAAAAACAGGTACATAAATGAATCAAGGAAACATTTTTGAATTTTTTTAAACATAAATCTTCCTCAAAATGTGAAATAATTATTAAAATTTAAGGAGTCACCTGTTTTTCACATTACAAATCGCGGGCGATTTTACGTACCCAAAACGATAGATTACCAACTTCAGAGATTAATGGAGCTGAAATCTTCAATACTTTATTAGATCTAGAGATATCATCAAAGGTGTAACTCCAGACTGTTTAAGAGATCTTAGGCTAACATAAACTTCACATTTTGAGGAGGATTTATATTTTGAAAAATACAAAAATGGTTCCTTGTTTCATTTATAAATGAAGATTAGCGATGTTTCCAACAGATACAACCATGCTCAATAGTCAATAGCAGCCATCTTGCTTACGTTCGTTTTTTGTAAACTTATAACACGAGATTCAGTGGAAGGCAACTCTATTTTACAAATGGCTGCTGTTTATATAATATATAGATATAGGGAATCTTGCTTGCAAAGATCAATTAGATCTATGACGTATGCTGATAATTTTAAAGTCAATGTGAACTCACGGTGAACCCTTGACAATGATGACAATGTAGGGAATTTTCTCCCGCCGACGATCACACGCACGATATAGCGTCGGTTATTATTCCCGAACTGTTCAGCAGTAAAAAACCAGTAAATCCATGGCGTAGTCTGTAGAGCCGTTCCGGAAACCGCGGGAAATACTGTAAACCCTTATTTATTTGCCCCCATATTATTTTTAATACAAAATGTTTAAAAATGTGCAAGGATTGATTTTAGTTGCATTTTAAATACTGTTTTGCTAATTATTTTGTATTTCTAATTATTTTAAGTGTATGTTCTAATTATTGCTGCTACTAAACATCGTTCTAGTTCTTCTTACTACTTTTTACTTTAGTAAATCTAATCTTCTTATTTTACTAACAACTAGAAAAACTAGAAATCTAGAGCTAGTCTAGTTGTCGCAAATCTTCTGCAGGTTTTTTCTGCGTTTCTAAAAAAAACCATTAATTACTAAACTTGACTTTATAAATAATATTTAGATTTACTAATTAGGCCTAGTAATTGTTGCTAATTTTTTGTCAATTAAAAATTAAATTAAGTTAAAACATTAATTTAATGCACTTGACTCTATTTTATTTCCACGGTCAAATAAACTATGGTTTACAGTAACGAATGTTACCGAAACTCAACAAAAATTACCCAATAATTTCCGACGCTATATCGTGATTTTACCCACTAGCTATTTAATTGGAAATGTAATGCTTATTTTCGTTTTTTACCTTTTCTAATTAAAACACAAATTCATAACACAATTGAGTTGATCTAGCTCTAATCCTAGTGTTTTCTAAATGTTTTTGTGTGTTTCGGTTGTGTTTAATAGTTTAAAATAAAATATGTTCAACCTGAGGTGAACGGGAAGCAACGAATAAAATACGCTAAAATGGAGTTTTACCTACTATCTAGATCTATATCTAAAATCTAGATAAAATCTAGATCTAGATCTAGAATTAAAAAATTTCCCTTACTAAAACTAGAACTAAAAATAAAGTTAGGCCTACCTACTAGCTCTAGATCTAGTACTTCTATCTAATCTATCTTTCTATTTATTCTAGGTCTAGAATTTCTAGATATACATCTACTCAGAATAAGATTTATCTAGACTAGATCAATAATCAAAATGAAAAAAAATAAACCTGTAGGGATCTCCCCTAAACTTTCTCGAATATTCTTATATTAGCCATCGGTACCCCTTTCACGTGAATTATAGGCCTATATCAGTGGCGTGCAGACCTATGTAGATGCCCGGGGCAAACTCAAGCGGAAGATGCCCCCATAAATACAAATAAGTTGTGTTGGACGTCAATATAGGCCTACATAGAAAAGCATTGATTTAAATAATTAGACTTATCTTAATTAAGATGAAATCGTTGACTACAGCCAGCTAATTCCAAATGGAATGATTGGTTGGAAGAGGGGAGCCTTGTCGTGGTGGGGAGGGGGGGGGGGGGGGGGGGAGCGACCTTAGGGGGGGATGCCAAATTGAAAGTTTGAGGGGGGGGATGCAAATGAAAAGTTCGAGGGGGTGCAAATCGAAAGTTTGTCTCCGGGCACCGGGAAGGGTCGCTACGCGTCTGGGGCTGTGATGCACTACAGAAGAGTCTCAACCGGTTTTGTATTACCACCCGAGGCCGCGTTGACAAAAAAGTTGTCCGTGTCTACAATTAGGGCGTAGGTCACGCTTTTATTTATGGCCTGCTTCTCTCTTGTTTAGGAATTCCTATAGTGTAACTAATACAGGTGAGAGTGTGCATTGAACGAGAGATGTTTCAGATTTTTTTCTCTAAACCACTTGGTCAAAACGTCAACTCTTTAAAGTGAAGAGATGGGTGATGCTAGATACTCTCAAACTATCTGAACCTTGAATTTAACAGAAGTGTACCTTGGTTGGCTAAAGCTACCAGCCCTAAAAAAAAACACTTCTACATCGGACTGTGTTTAAAAATCCACTATGCTATGTCAGACCCTCCCTCCCAGGTAACGCCTGTCTAGTTCAGGCGGGGGATAATCCACTGACGGCTTCCATGGCCTAAAAACCCACACTGCATCCCCACATTTCATTACATCAAAATGGGCTCAATAACTCTATAGATAGCTCTACTATTAACTGAAATAAAACTGGCTCTGTATGTGCCCCAAATTACTTTAAAGAAAGCTCTACCCAGAGTTAAAATACTTTTACTTTAACACTACTTAAAGCATGCTCCTCCTATTTGTAAAAATCAATATGGGCGAAATTATTCTGAATGATATCATTACAATGTATCGAAAACAATATGTTGATTCGTATTCTTGAGATTGTCGCTACAGTGTATCAAAAATAATATGGGCATTCTTTTTCTTAAGTATGCTTATATAATGCAGGAAAATAAATATATACTAAAGGCTGCCAGTGGCGTAGCTACCGTAAAGCTATAGTAAGCAAGGCATAGGGAACCCAAGGCAAATAGGGGCCATTTTCCTTCTTTTAAAAAGTTAAAACTTTTACATTGGAATTTTGATATTTATTTTATATAAATAATTTTAAAAAAATGGAAATCAAGTTTTTTTTCTACTGTAGAAATAATTTAATTTCAAAAAGTCCCCAAGTCCTTTCTTAGTGCACAGGCAGTGGCATTCAGTGTGGGGGAGGGCGGGCGACTAACATTATTAACATTGTTAATTTTTGCATAGGGGCCCGAAAATCCTAGTTACGCCACTGAAGGCTGCCCATACAATTTAACACAAAAAAGTTTGGGCGTTATTACTCTACAAATGACCATATATTTCACAAAAGATGCCCAAAAAATTTATAATAATAATATGGGCATAATTACCCTTTGGGTGCCCTTAAATGGATCATAATGAAGAAGTACATAAAAAAAAGCTTTAGAGATGCCCCCAATGTTAACAGCGATGATTGGTGTAATTACTGTTGCATGCGCTTCGAGTGTTTTACATGAATATAAGCATAATTACTTTCAAGATGCCCCTACAATATATTAATTAAAGATGGGCATACTTACTGTATGGATGCCTTTAAAATGTATTATAAAGTGAAGTGGGCATATTACTAAATGCTCATAAAATATATTAAAATGAATATGCGAATAATTACTTTAAAGATGCCCCTACAGTGTATAAAAATAAATATGACGGATGTCCTTGAAAATGAGTATAACGAAGAACGTGTATATTACTTTAAAGATGCCCTTACAGTGCATGGGAATAATTTGGTCACAGGTACTCTAAACGATGCCCACACACTATTCTAAATAAATATCACACACATTTATTAAGGGAGTATCATTGACTTCCAGAGGACTACCGTTCACTGATGCCCGCTTTTTCTATATAAGGTTTGCAATACGGACAGTGTAAATTACACTGTAATGTTAAAACGAGTGACAGACGATTGAGTGTTACAATTTTTTTTTAAGTGAGAGCGTAAAACATATGGAAAGTTACGATGACACCACGACACGACATATCACAACAATTTTTAAATTACTAAAAAAAAAAAAAAAAAAAAAAAAAAAAAAAAAAAAAATTAATTTCCTCTTCCGCTGGATTCCCCCCCCCCCAGCGGTGGATGCCCGGGGCATGGGCCCCGTCCGCCTCCCCCCTCTGCACGCCACTGGCCTATATATTTTAATGTTGTACTTGTTTGAGAAAAATAATTTATGAAATAGTTATTGGTGAAAACGCAATTTTCTTTACTACACGCTAAACGATATTAGTGACAAAGAAAAGAAATAACTAATTAGCTAAAAATCCGACACATTTAACATAACACAGGCACAAACTGATAAAGTGACTTAAATGATTCCGTTAAAAATCTGTTATTCAATGGTCATTATGTTGTTTTTAAGTAATTTGTATTAGTTTGACCGATAAAATTGTATATATTTCATAGCGTACGTCTTGATGAGTAGATCTATAGATCTAGATCTTTCCTTGAAAAATTGTAGATTCTAATAGGCCTATTCAATTTAAATTATCTGATTTTTAAATTATTAATTTTTTAGTTTCTGACCACCCGCTCGCTCGCTCGCGATTTCTAGCGGTAGAAAAATACTGACATCCAGAATTTCATTCAGGAATCTCTTCGGGTGTTATCTCAAAGTGAAATGTGTCATTGATTGAAACACTTTCGATGTAATCATCTTTACTTCTTGTAGACCATTGTACTTTTTTCCCCCCAAAAGTTTCGTTTTTGTCCCGTTCCTGACGTGACGGTAAAACCGTTTAGGCTAGCTCCATTTTATTCTTCCACCACCCTCTACCTGTTCTATTACCCCCCCCCCCCACCCACCATCTACAGCTACGTACATCCATATATTTCGTCCCCCTCGCAGGCCCCTCTCTAGTTGGCTAGATTGTCCACGTGACACACCGCCAATTTTAATGCTAAAAGGGATGCAGCAAAGAAATTCACGTACTCTTCCAGAGCATCTCTTCGGGGGGGGGGGGGGGGCGAAGCCTCCCGAAAAACTTTTACCGCCCCCCCTGAACGAAATGAAATTTATATAATTTATATAGAAAGTATATACTTTTACCAGTGTCCGCCCCCCGAAGAAAGTCTACGGCCCCCCCCCCCCGAAAATTTCAAGTGCCCCCCCCCCGGAGAAAAAAGTCTGGAGGAAACACTGTACTCTTCCAGCACTGAGCTCAGCTGGTGGTGTCGCACGCGGCGTTTGGGCCGTCGGCCCTACTCCCATGTGCATGGTTTTATATTATTTACTTAACTCATTTTATAATAACTGTATGGTTTGTAAAACATATAAATAAGCATGATTGACAGTGGAGTAGCGAGGTCGGGTGTCACCTGGTGCGGCATTTAATGGTGTCACCCCGAAAGGCGTAGCGACCCTTCCCGGGGACAAACGTTCAAGTTTTCGATTTGCACCCCCCCCCCCTCAAGTTTTTCTCTATATATTTTGCTATTTTTTGCCTTGGTGTCACCCCCCTAAATGGTGTCACCCGGTGCGGTCCGCACCCCCCGCCCCCCCCCCCCTCGCTACGCCCCTGGTTCGGAATAGAATCAATTTGGTTCACACGTCTATTAAAGTAGCGCCCACTGAGTAATACGAACCGCATTGTTACGCAGATAAGATGCAACATCCA